ACTGTGCAGCTGGCATGAGCCTCTGTCACACCTCTGCTTAAACCTTTTAATGGTTTCTCCCTGCACTTAGAACAAAACACGCACTCTTCGCCATGGCCTGGGATTATCTCATCTCTGCCTGCTTTTCCAGGCTCACCATAGACCCCTCTCTACCTCTCTTACTGGCCTCGCTTTCATTCCTTACAAACACCAAGCTCTCCTGCAGGCCTCTCTCTTCCTCCAGCTCTTCACACAGTGGCTTCATTCTAGTTCTTTGGGGCTCAGCTCAAATGTAACTTCCATAGAGAGGCTTCCTTGTCTAGTCTAAGTCAGCTCCTTCAAGGAGTCTCCAGCTTGTTAACATGTTTCTTCAATTCTTATCACAATAAATGTTTGCATTATTATGTGTACATTTACTTTATTCTTTCAAGTACTTATTGATCCCTATCATGTGATCCCCTAGCATGTGGTAGGTCTAAAGATGTAACCGTGTACCAGACAAAGTTCTCTGGCTCCTGCAGCTTACATCCTACAGACACTAAGACAAACAGTCTACTGTCAGGTAGTGAACACGCTATAAAAAAAAACACAGAGTAAGCAAATCGAGACAGATGAACCAAAGAGTAAGTTTCAACCAAAAACCCCATTGCCCTCGAGCCTATTCTGACTCAGCAACCCTTTAGGACAGAGTAGAACTGCCCCACAGGGTTTCAAGGCTGTAATCTTTACAGAAGCAGACTGCCACATCTTTCTCCCACAGAGTGGCTGCTGGTTTCAAAATGCTGACCTTTCAGTTAATCAGTCAAGCACTTAACCACTGCGCCACAAGGTTACTGAAGGGCATGTAAGAACTTAATAATGAGAAAGCATCACAAATAAACAGATGATTTATTCAATTAATGGTTTTGAAGAAATAAACTATTTGGAGAAAATTAACTTCCATCCATAAATTGCAGGATGATTAAAAAAGTTAAGGGTATAATGAAACCATAAACTAGAACAAAATTACTTCCCTTCTGGATGGGTAAAAATGGCAAAAGTCTGAAAGAACAGAAATACTGCAAAAAATGATTGACAGACTACATAATATCTTAATATTTCCAATTTCATGAAATTAAGAGAGAATCGTGAAATTAAGAAGCTAACAAATTGGGGAAAATACTTGCCACAAGTGGGAATAATGAAGAGTTAATAACATCCATATGTTACATGTCTTCACTTCCAGAGTGTATTTTTTTTCCTTGTATTTTAATGTTTCCTAAATCGGGCTATGTTTTTCAATCAATGCGTTCATTTAATGTGGTTAGTCATTGAAAACGTTAAGTCAATGATATATCTTCCAGACAATAGCATCTTACAATCAAAATGTGACTTTTAAAAAAGTTTGTAAAAATCCATATGAACATTTTTTTTTTTAAATTGCTAATTCACTCACTGATGTAACAAATACTTGAGGGTTTACTGTGTACCAAGGTGGTAGGTGTACACTGGCAAAGAAAATAGACAAAAATCCTTGCTTTCGAGTGCCTTCTCTATGCCAGCCTTTGTTGTGCCATGTATACTAGTTACATCCAATCTGGGATAGTTTGGGTTATTTCAGAGAGAATGAGTACCTTGGCCCAGGCCACTCAGCAGTTAACATTCCAGCCAAAGCCGGCCTGGCTCTAAAACCTGTGCTCTTTCCTCAAATTACCATAATTGTTGAGCTAAATGAAATTTTCACACTCGATCTTGCTGAGAAAGCTATCATTACCGATGCCCTTCTTTCTTCTCACCTGCCTCAGCACCGGGCTTAAGACGGAATCAGGGAACTATTGGAAACAGAAAGCCCTGCATGGACCCCCCAGCCAGGGCTGATGTCTTTTTAGCAAAGAATAATGTTTTGTCAACAAGACACGCAGAAAGTCTAGTCCTGCATTATTTAGGTGCCCTATTATATGCTTTCTAAACTTGTGCTAAGTAATATTTATTATATAAATTTCAGTAAGCATAAATTAGCTATAAAAACCAGTAAACCATTTATAATCATAAACTTGGGAAAGAATGGGAGGGAAAAAGAACAAACCGTACACTTTTCACAGCGTCTGAGAGAAATTGTAATTAGAAGTTGTCGTAAGTTGGGTTCTCCAGAACCAGAACCTAGTTGGAGGTTCTTGTGCAAGCAATTTATTGAGCGAATGCTCTCGGGAGAGGGGTGTGAGGAAGGTAGGACAGGGCAGTAGAAAAAGCTGGTTACAACTGGAGCCTCGCTTCAGCCAGATCCCACGGGGAGCCATGGAGTAGGCCCAAACTGGGACGAGGGAGCTGATCTTTCACAACCCTGTGTCAGTCACTCACTGGCTGTGTGCTGCTTGTGGACAGAGGGCAGTGCTTAACCAACCCAGAGTTGTTGGGGGCAATTCTCCAGAGAAGGATGGACGCACTGCTCAGTAAAGGGACCCTGGATGGGGGCCACCAGCATTCACTGCAGAAGTTCAATAGGAAATTAACTTGCTAGATTATCAAGTGTTGGGTCTTGAAACATAGCAGGAGCTCTCTGACTAGATACGCCTGTTGAACAGAGGATTTGCTTTGTTTTAGGGTGTTAAGGTCTTAGGCCTTGGTAAAAGAGACAATTTCTAAGGCCCTGTGGCAGAGTGTGTGCTCTGCAGAGCTAAGAGGGCAGTTTTTAAGTTGTTGCTGGGAAAAAAGAAAAAGAATTAAAGATGTAATTGGAAACAGTTCTCAGAAACTAGCTTATATAATACCAGCCTTGTCAGGAGAATGATACTGAATCCCTCCAGCTATCATACATGTTTATTCTAGATTCTTCTAAAATCATTTTTACACACTGGTATCTTCTCATCAATATATTTTTTCCTAACAGTGCTTTGCATAGAATGTTTAACTGTTTAGGTTTTCATTCTGTCAGTCAGCTGTTTCTCCTGAGGTGAAAGGAATGAAACAGCCTAGCAAAAGATTTGAATTGGAAGCCCCTTGAGTTTTGCTAATGAGTTCTGCCTGACTTATGCTCAGACTGCTGACGCTGTGTTATATTTAGGCACCAAAACCAAGATCACCCTTTGAAACGAAGAGCTAATTTTAAGTGTAAAATGAAATACCCCATTTCATAGGCACATTCCACCCCCCCACACACACATTTCAGCATCTCTGAAATGGGGATACATTTTACAATCAATGGCATCTGACAGTTATCACTGGGAGCGTTTTTTTTTTTAAATCAATAACCAGTTGCCGTAGCTTTGACTGCAACTCATGGCAGCCCCAGATGTATCAGAGTAGAACTGTGCTACTTATGGTTTTCAATGGCTGTTTCACAAGTACATCACCAGGCCTTTCTTCCAAGGCACCTCTAGGTGGACTCAAACCGCCAGCCTTCAGTTTTGCAGCCGAGCATGTTAACTGCTTGCACCACCAAGGGCCTTAGTTTTATATAAGCTAATAAGGTATCTTACAAAAGGACAGTGCCTTAGATTCAATGAAACACAGTAGATCGAATTTACGTTACCTTATTATGATGTAATACAGTGTGGTTCTTACATATTCTGTGTATTTGAAGGTTAATTCTTGAATTATTTTGTTGCACTCAGACTTTTCCTCTTTCAAGCACCCATTGGCTCACTATAGTGTTCAAATTAGCTTTAACTAGTCCTAGCAAGGTAGTACTCAGATTATGGGCTGTAAATCATGATTGTAGAAAAAAATTGACAGTTATCTGAATAACAGAAACAAGCTACGTTGTTGTTGTTGTTGTTAGGTGCTGTCAAGTCAGTTCCGACTCATAGCAACCCCATGCACCACAGAACGAAACACTGCCCGGTCCTGTGCCATCCTCACAATCGTTATGTTTGAGCTCATTGTTGCAGCCACTGTGTCAATCCATCTCATTGGAGGTCTTCCTCTTTTTCGCCGACCCTGTACTTTACCAAGCATGGTGTCCTTCTCCAGGGACTGATCTCTCCTAACAACATGTCCAAAGTATGTGAGACGTGGGGGGAAATAGGCTACAGAGAGGAAAATGTATTTCTTCCACTTTTAGTTTATGTGGTAGAGGCTGTGTATGGGTTTTATAAATGTGATTATGTTTCTGTAGTAACAAATGGCAGGCAAAGGCTATGTTCTCTTTAAAAATATGACTATACAGAAATCTCAATGTCCTGTGTAATCAGTTGCCTGTTGCCTAAAGACAGAGGCAATGTTCTGGCAACATTTAGTTAATAAAGGTCTACTTGGACCTCCATTTGAACCATTTCAGGGGCAATTTATTTGTCTAGTAGATGGAAAAGTTAGTTTGGTAATGCCATCTAGACAGGCTTCCAGGGCCTCAGAGAGTCTCTCATGGAGGGCGGTTAAAGTAGTAAGATGTCTATGCCCATGTCTTCCTGAAGCAAGCCTTATCTGAAAGCATTGTTTTTGGTCTAAAGATTTTCTTTTCATATTGGTCTGCACAGAGCTTAGGAATATATTTGAAGTTCAAAATACAGTCAGAATTGGGTAAATAGTATCCTTTGTTACCCAGTTCACAGGTTTTTGCTATAAATTCCTTCAGTACCTTTTTCATAGCGTAGAACGCACTCTTACACAAAGTATACATGCCTGTCACATACACAGTATTTAAGTATACATGATGTGCACACACACATACATGCACAGCTTTTTAAAGAAAAAAGAAACCATTTCCCATCCCATTGGTCACTCCTTTCTAGAATGCCTGCTACCGTTATGTAGATTCAGTATAAAATAAAATTAAACATGTCAGGGTTTTTAAATCAGTTTTAAACCAAAACTTTTTGAGATTGCCTTCTGATATTAACATAAAATACTTGGCTTTTTTCTGTTACTTTAATCCCAGCATATGGGTATCTGTACCGAAGCTAATTTGGATAAAAACGAAAACCAGTAACCTTTATCAAATTACAGTGAGATTTCCCTTGTAAGCTGCTTAGAGTTTCTATAGAAACATGATCTGCTGAGTTCTGTTGTAGACCTGCAATTCCCCTGAGAGGGCACGACATTCCTAATGCCGTGTGTGTGTTTTCTTTCCCTCTCCACAGGCCTTGAACCGGGGTATTGCTGCTGTAAAGGAAGATGCAGTCGAAATGCTGGCCAGCTACGGGCTGGCGTACTCCCTAATGAAGTTCTTCACAGGACCCATGAGCGACTTTAAAAACGTGGGTCTGGTGTTTGTGAACAGCAAGCGCGACAGGACCAAAGCCGTCCTCTGCATGGTGGTGGCTGGCGCCATTGCCGCTGTCTTCCACACCCTGATAGGTGAGGATGCGGACCAGCCTGGAAGAATCTAGCTTTGGTCACGTCTTCTTCCTTTTAACTTACTTAAATATGTTTACTGTAATATATGATTTCTTTAGTAATTATGAAATATGAAGATTTCAGGCGATGGAAGGAATGGAGTTTGTGCTCCTCGCTCAAGAAAATGAAATCTGTTTTCTCTGAGAAGCTATAGTTTTGTGTCTCTGATTCCCAAACCATGTGTTAGAGAGGGAGTGATTTCATTAATAGGTGATTGTATCTGAGATTAGCATGCAGTAAAGTCAGAGGAATCCTGGTGGCTCAGTGGTTAAAGCAATCAGCAGCTAACCATAAGATCGGTGGTTCAAACCCACCAGCCACTCAGCGGGAGAATGATGTGACCGTCTGCTGTCATAAAGATTACAGCCTTGAAAACCCTAGGGAGCAGTTCTGCTCTGCCCTATAGGGCCACTGTGAGTCAGAATCGACTAGACAGCAATAGGATTTTTGGTTAAAGTCAACAAAATGACAGTGCTTTTGTTAGAGACATTCATTATTGTACAAACTTATTTAATCTGAAGAATGAAGTATGGTGATTAAAATTAATGTTTTTCGGTAGTGAGAACGATTGACAGACTTTTTATTTATTAAATTTAATTTTCTATAAAAACAACCAGATCAGTTGCTATCAAGTCAGTTCCAACTCATGGCGACCCCATCTGTGCAGAGTAGCTCTACTCCGTAGGGTTTTCATGGCTATGACCTTTCAGAAGCCAACCTTTCAGTTAGTAGCCAAGCTCTTAACTGTTGACACATTATTATATTTTATTCAAAGACAAGAGTAAATACTCTTGCTATAACATTCTTTCCATGAAACAACAAGGAAGCTATTTCATACATATGGTGACGGACCTGCAGTTTAACCAAGGCCTTGGAAAGGCACATTTCTGTAGTGGGGGGCTCTACGTCTACCTTCTTGGCAGAGATAAGATCCTCAAGGACATGATTTCCTTGGCTTTAAAACAGCTTTGCTTACCTGGCATAAAAATCGAGTGCATGTCTATTGAACCCAGTTGCGTAAAGCACTGTGAATGACACTTCACAAATCCATTGTGTACCGTACAGTTGGCACTGTTGTATGGGAGCCACGAATGTCAGGAGCCAGAAGAGTCACCCAAACCACTGAGTGTAAGCTAATGTTTACTCACATAACTGTGAATCTAAAGTAAACAGGGTAGGACCTTTGTGGTTTTCCTTTTTAATGTAGCATAGAATTTTGTACTGTGTAAACAGTGTGGACAGTACCATGTTTGCTGATCAGCCAAATAATCCATCAAAGTTTTGATTTTGATCGTTAAATTTGTGCTCAGAGCTTCTGGGGTTGGGGTTGGGGTTGGGGAGGAGATGCCTTTCTTTCCCTCAATGTATGCCCTGACTGGTAACTTAGGGAATGAGTGTTTGCACATCTGTCTGCTATTTGAAGAAAATTTCTGCAGCTAGATTTGATCTGGGCCATTTTCAGTGAGAGTATATATATTTGAGAAAATTCCATATTTTTTTAAAATAAGGGGCTTATCTAAGAGGTAAATTAACTCCACTTTGTTACTATTCTTTTTATTTGGGTTCTAAGTAAATCTAGCACTCCTATTTGAGCTATGGTTGAATGAGATTTTGAAGCTGTCAGTAGTTACGGGAGAGAAGCTAAGTGTGCTGTGTTACTGAAGCTGTACTGAAGAAATGTGCTCACTGAAATAAAAATCAACCTCATTTTACAAGTTCAATCTCATTTTTTCAGTTTTAAAATATAATAATAAAATTTTAAATTTAAACCAGAAAGGTTCTATAACCCAGATAGATTTAAAAATTGTTTTTGTCAATCTTGACATTTTTGTAATTACAGCTTCTTTTCTTCTACAAAAAAAGAAATGTTTTCTACAATTGCTGAGAAAGCCATATCAATTTCTTTTGAACACAAAAGGCTCAAATTTTAATGATTTTCCTCTTCTAGTTTATTGACATCTTTTCAGTTTTCCCCCTAACTCTTTAATTGCTCTCTTGCTTTCTGGTGTCTGCTATATCATGCATCTTTGCTTACCTCCTCTTTCCTTTTTTATTTGTCCTGTAAGCTTTTCTGAAATCCTTGGGTGGTGCAAATGGTTTGCACTTGACTACTAACCTAAAGGTTGGCAGTTCAAACCCATCCTCTGGGGCTGCGGAAGAAAGGCCTGGTAATCTGCATCCATACGGATTACAGCCAAGAAAACCCTATGGGGCAGCTCTACTCTATAATGGCATGGGGTCGTCGTGATCCAGAATCAACTTGACAGGAATGGGTTTGGTTTTGGTTTTTTGTTAGCTTTTTTATACTGACATCTTGCCCATTCTGTGTTTCCCATCATCTTGACCACAAGCTCCATGACGGGAATGTTGGCATCCATCCCCCACCTTATCCTACCATCAAACTTAATATTCATGTTCCTGCCCAATGCCGCTTTCTACTTCACGTGTAACCTGTATTAAACACTTCAACCCTTTTCACATCTTGGTGATGATGAAAACAACTACTCACGTATCAGCTCTAACAGTCAGCTCTCAGACAACTTAGCCCGTGACAGGGAAATAGTGATATAGATAGAACAAAAGAACAGACACTCTAAATATATTTGGCCTGAGAGCTCTCAGGCGGTCTTCCTAATGATGTTTGCTTGGACCGATATTAAATAGCGTGGATTCCCTGCACGAACCACTCCCGAGTGGGGCCTAGAGTAAGTACAAGAAGCTTCTTATTACAAATTCATCACTTCTAAATTCACAGGATGGAATGCACCAGAGTAATCTAGGTTTGAAACTTAATTTCCCTGTTCTTTTGTTCAGGCAAAACTAGTCTAGTTGCCTTAAGCTTTCCTTTTTTAAGGCGCTATTTCCCCATTGCATTAATGAATTTATTTCCTTTTATCAAGATCTTGTCTCATTTTTTGACATTTCTATAAGGACACGTGAGAGCACAGAAGAGAAAGAGATGAAATCTTTTGGGAGTTGAGGACTGAGGCCTCGTGAAGCCACCCATCTCTTACCTAGATCTGAAAGGATGAGCTGCATTTTAGCATAACCCTTTCTAATTTTCTCCTGATCCTCCATTCAAAGGTGGAATCAAGAATTTGAGCCTGTGCTCTAAATTAGTATTTTCCTGTAGCCAAAGAAGATTCTAGATGGTGATTCTTCTTGCCTGTAACATGTCTGTTAATTGTGTCTAGCATCAGGCTGTGGTTTTGGTGACGCCTCTGTGTCGTGCATTTTTTTGGTTTAACGTCTAATCCCTTGGTTCCTTACTGCTTTGCTTCCTACTTTACCTGTTGATCCTTTTTATCCTTTAAAATATCAGTTACTTTTCCCAGCATGGTGCCTTCTGTACATTTAACTAATGTAATTCTCTTTTCAGACATTCTCAAACATTGATAAAATCCATCCATTTTCCCACATTGATGTCGTTAATGTGAATGGGACATTTTATTGTAAAGAGACACACTGCTAGTATTAATAGAGCTGATCTTCCTGCTTTGAGTGTTGGGGGATTTTATTCCATAAGTTATCCTTCCCAGGCCTAAAGAAGAGTAAGAATAAGAATTACCCTTTGTTTCACTCGCGTTTTAAATGATCCAGTGCCCATCTGTCCCATCAGTGAGTCAATAAAATATTTATTGAACAAATGGTATGTTCATGTCATTCCAGGTCCTGTTGATCAAACATTGGGAATAGAGGTGATACAGGTACAGAAGGCACGGTGACCCAATACACACTTCTCCTAAAGTAGACATAGTTCACAGAAGAGTGTATATGTGTGTCTTCAGTATTGATTTCTAGAAGAACGTCGGTGAGAGCTGTTTTCAGGCAATCAGAGCTTTTCAGAGAAGGCAGAGGGAGACTGGAGTCAAAGTCGGGGAGTTAAAACCAGCCCTGGACTTGACAGAGCGTAGTGAAGGCTAGAAAACAGAAGCAGAAGGGCTGTTGGTGAAGAAACGATGTGGAAGGCAGACTGTAGCCATGCATTTATAAATCAGGAAAAAAATATAAAGCAAGAAAGCACATGGTGCTAATTGTAACAGTTAAGAGAGCAAATGCCTGGCGCTGGGGCTGGGCTCTGGGTAAGTAGGTTTGGAGCCCAGCAGACAACATCAGAAGGTACACGGGAGGGAGAGAGGAGTGGGCAAAGGGAGGGGGGCAGCAGGCAGGGAGAGCGTTAGACCCGTGAGCATGCAGCTTTATTCTGAGCACACCGAGATCCACCCATACCAGTGGGAATTTATTGTCAAGTCTGAGGGACAACCTTCTTGAGTAAAGCAGATTTATTCTAGTTTTCAAGGAGTCCCAGTTGCACAATGGTTAAGCACTCAGCTGCTAACCGAAAAGTTGGCAGTTTGAACCCACCAGCAGCTCCTCGAGAGAAAAAACCTGGCGATCTGCTTCCATAAAGATCACAGCCTAGGAAACCCTGTGAGGCAGTTCTGCTCTGTCTCATGGGGTCACTATGAGTCAGAACCAGCAACACTCTAATTTTCATATGTGCATGTTTAATAGAGCTTTAATAACAAAAAAAAAGTCTGTGTTCTGCTTATTTGCTTCTTTATAACCTCGGGATCTCTAAAGTCTTTAATATTTAGGACAGTTGGATATATTTTATTATTCTGTATAATCTGCTTGTTAGGTACTGTCGAGTCAGTTCTGACTCATAGTGATCCTGCATACAACAGAAAGAAACACTGCCCAGTCCTGCGCCATCCTCACAATCATTGTTATGCTTGAGCCCCGTATATTTAGAACAAAACCAAAAACCCATTGCCAACGTCGAGTCGATTCTGACTCATAGCAACCATATAGGACAGAGTAGTTTCCAAGGAGCAGCTGGTGAATTCGAACTGCCAACCTTTTGGTTAGCAGCCAAGCTCTTAACCACTGTGCCACCAGGGCTCCATATTTAGAACAATTAGATATAGTTTATCATTCTGCATAATCTCCTTAGTAGG